CTTCGGTGGAGCTCCCTATGGGGCCACGAAACGTGTGAGGTGTGTGTGTGTGTGTGTGTGCGTGCCAAAATGAGGGGGGTGACGGGAGGAGGGGGAGGGGGGGGAGGAGGAGGAGGGGAAGGAGGAGGAGGGAGGAGGAGGAAGGAGGAGGAGGAGGAGGAGGGGAGGAGGAGGAGAAGAAGGAGGAGGAGAGGAGAGGAGGGAGGAGAGGAGGAGGAGGAGGAGGAGGAGGAGGAGGAGGAGGTAGGAGGAGGAGGAGGAGGAGGAGGGTGAGGAGGAGGAGAGGAGAGGAGAGGAGATGCGGGGACCGTCTTTTCAGAAAGAGGCCCCAGCACCACACGATGGTTGGGAAAATTAGCCCGACGAAGGACTCAACCATATGCAGCCGCGGGCACCGCGACGGAGACGAGACGGAGGAGGGGGGCCGCGGTGGCCCAAGCCCCGTGCGCGGCCGTGTTGTTTTAATGTTATCCCCAGCGTAGTAGCTTCTCTCTCTCTCTCTCTCTGTTTCCGTTGCGTGTTGCACGTTTGGTTTCTTGACTTTGCCTGAGCCCCTTGCGCGGCCGTTTTGTCTGCAGTGTCTTCCCAGCTTATTATCCTCACTCTCCCTGTTTCCGTTGCGCGTTGCAGTAGTCTTTTCTTGTTTTAGCCTGAGCCCCGCGCGCGTGTTATATGAATTGTCGTTCCAACTCGGTTTCCTCTCTCCCTGTTTCCGTGGCATGGGCATTCTTGGTTTCTTGCTTTGGCTTGAGCCCCGTGCGCCGTTTTGTCTCCATGTTCTTCCCGTCTCATGTTCCTCTCTCTCTCTCTCTGTTTCCGCAGCGTGCTAGCGTCCTAACCATCTGGCCCGCAGTGGCCCAAGCCCCGTGCGCGGCGGTGTTGTCTCCGTTTTCTTCCCAGCCCATTCTCCTCTCTCTCTCTCTCTCTCTCTCTGTTTTCGTCGTGCGTTTGCCTGCCTGGCCTGAAATGACGCGAGCCCCCTGCGCCGCCTCTTTGTCTCCTTTTTCTTCCCGCCTTCATCTTTCTCTCCCTCTCTCTCTCTCTCTCTCTGCCCCCTGTCGCGTGCAAGCTTGCCAGGCCTGAAACAAGGCGAGCTCCCTGCGCCACCACTTTGTCTCCATGTTCTTCCCGTCTCATATCTCTCTCTTTCTCTCGCTCTCTTTCTCTCGCTCTCTCTCGTTCTCTCTCTCTCTCTCTCTCTCGTTCTGTTTCCGCGGCACGTTTGCGCGCCTGGCCTGCAATTTGGCGGCCCCCTGCGCCACCATTGTGTCTCCATTATCTTCCCGCCTTCATCTCTCTATCTCTCCATCTCTCTCTCTCTCTCTCTCTTTCTGTTTTCGTCGCGCGTTTGCCTGCCTGGCCTGAAATGACACGAGCCCCCTGCGCCGCCTCTTTGTCTCCTTTCTCTTCCCGCCTTCATCCTTCTCTCACTCTCTCTCTCTCTCTCTTTGTCTCTCTCTCTCTCTCTCTGCCCCTGTCGCGCGCAAGCCTGCCAGGCCTGAAACAAGGCAAGCCTCCAGCGCCACTACTTTGTCTCCATTTTCTTCCCGTCTCATCTGCCTCTCTCTCTCTCTCGTCCCTCTCTCCCTGTTTCCGTTGCGTGGGCATTCTCTGGGTTTCCAGCTTTTTCTGGGTTTCTTTACCCCTGCCCCCGTTCAGCCGAGGATGGGTTCCCACCTCCGGCCCGGACGCAAGGGGCTACCCCTGCGCCCGCCTTCCCGCCTGATACTTCCTCCATCATCAAGCCTGAGGGAACCAAGAACGACGACAGCTACAAGTATTAGGATGACCCGTTCGGATTAGTGACATGATCTGCGCGCCCCAGAAGCCCCGGCTCTGTACAGGCCTAGCCGGTACTGTCCTGGCGTTTCGCGCAGCTGTCCCTATTGACGGGATTCGCCTGGGCGGCTGCAGTGGCACCTCGCACGTCGAGCCTCCCCATACCGTGCGTGGGGTGTACCAAAATGAGCGGGGGGACGCATGCAGACCCTGCCGCTGGGGCCGTCGGTGGAGCTCCCCAGTGGGCCACGAACCGTGTGAGGGGCGTGCCAAGGTGGGCAGGGGGACGAGTGCGGACCCTGCGCTCCCTATGGGTTCACTATCCTCGTGAGGGGTGTGCCGAAATGAGTGGGGAGACGCATGCAGACCCTGCCGCTGGGGCCTGCGGTGGAGCTCCATATGGGGCCACGATCCTCGTAAGGGGTGTGCCAAAATGACTGGGGGGACGCATGCAGACACTGCCGCTGGGGCCTTCGGTGGAGCTCCTTATGGGGCCACGATCCTCGTGAGGGGTGTGCCAAAGTGGGCGGGGGGACGCATGCGGACCCTGCCGCTGGGGCCTTCGGTGGAGCTCCCTGTGGGGCCACGATCCTCGTGAGGGGTATGCCGAAATGGGCGGGGGACGCATTCGGACCATGCCATTGGGGCCTTCGGTGGAGCTCCCTGTGGGGCCACGAACCGTGTGAAGGGTGTGCCGAAATGGACATGTGGAGAACAAGGTCACGACGCTGACGATGGCGATGTTAATGACGCCGATGATGGCGATGGTGACCACAGTGAAGATCATGATAATGATGGTGAGGACGGCATGCGGAGAGGAGAGGCAGGGATGGGAGGAGCGGGAGGAGGGGGAGGAGGGGGAAGAGGAGGAGGAGGAGAGGAAACGCGGGGCGCTGTGTCTTCAAAACGAGGACCCAACACCACAGGATGTTTGGGAGCAACCAGGAGGCAGGACGCAGGAGGCAAGAGGAGGAGGATGAGGAGGAGGAGCAGGAGAAGGAGGAGGAGAAGGCAGGAGGAGGAGGCAAGAGGCAAGAGGAGGCAGGAGGAGGAGGAAGCAGGAGGCGGAGGAGGAGGCAGGATGAGGAGGAGGAAGAGGCGGAGCAGCAGAGAGAGGGCGGACGGAAGATGGACGGGGATCGGGACGGCGCTCGCCGAGGCGAGGTTTTTTTTTGCTAGTCTCGACCTCCAGGAGACCCTCGACGGGCCCCCGGGCCTTCAAGGAGGATTCAGGCTAAAACACGGGCCCTGGAATCCGATAGGGATCCTACAGGATTCCAGGGCCCGTGGGAACCCTGGAACGGTACAGGATTCCAGGGTTCCAGGAAGGATCACAGGATTCCAATGGGATCCTATAGGATCTTAGAGGATTTCTGCAGGGATCCGGGAGGATTCCTACGGACCCGCTGGCCCTGGGGAAGTGGTCCAGACCTCTGGGGACCCACGCACCGAAAAAGATTGAGCACCTGATGTTTGGGACCCAAGCGGCGCCGTGACTGGGCTGTGGGCATGAAGCCTATTGGATGCTCGTTGGGATCTCGTGGGAGGCCTCTCGGGGGCCTCTTGCAGGCAGTTCGAACGCCTCTTGGGGGCCGTTTTGGGGCCTCGTGGGGCCTCTTTGGGCATCTTGGGAGCCTCCTGAGACCTCTCGGGGGCTTCTTGGGGGCCTCTTGGGGCCAAGCAGCGCTGGTCCCTTGGGCGATCCCCCCTGCTGAGGGCCACGCCCCTCGTGCGGGGGCGCTCGTCCCCTGGGGCGCCCGGCGCGTCGGGCTTCGCTCGGGCGCCGCGGCGCAGCTAATTACCCGCCCTGCGGGGTCCACGACGAGCCGATCGGTGCGAGTCGAGCTCGGCCGGCCCGATGCGGTTTGGTGCCGACGGTGCGATGCTCGGCACGAACGGCATACAATGCCCAACAGCAGTTCCTGGTCATGGTGAGCAGGACTCGCTGTCCGCGCCGCCGCGGCCCGTGTCCACTTGAAACAGAAGGCCGCCTGCCCAACAGCGGCCGCTGATGGTTTGGGGCAACATGTTGTTGGGCACTGCACCCATTTTTCCGTATCCATTTCGAGCGCCCACAGATGCGGCCCGAGGCCTGAGCTCCGATTTCTGAGGACGTGGCGTGTCTACACCCTAGGCGATACTTAAGAAAACTTACGTTTTCGGCCAGAGTCTCGATTATTCTTAATGTTTCAATGTAAGTCCTAAGGTTTTAATGCAAGTTCTGGGCGTTTATTCAAAATCTGAGACTATGAATTTCTGAACGCATGATTTCTTAAGCATTTCGCAGGGTGTACTTTCAGAGGCCTCGGGGGCCGTTTCCGGCGACTTCGGCCCTCGGGGGCCGAGTTCGGGCCCCGGGGCAGTCAAGAGTGGCGACGTGATGGTTCAACCAGGGGCTTCTTCTGGATTTCGGCCCTCGGGGGACGTCTTCGGGCCCTGGGGCAATCAGACATTGATCTGGGACGGAAAGGTCCTTCTGAGACAGCGGTCGGAACCTTGGTACCGCAGATTGGCAGGACAGAAGGCATAAAGTTCAGAGGAATCTCGGCGGATGTCAGGCAAGGCGCGGTTGTGCATCTCAGCGCCGCCGCGGCTTGATCCGACATCCTGGCCCGACACAGATTGGTCGTGCCCTGTAAAGCGCCCGTCGGGCCGAGAAGCTCCTGGGCCCGAGAGTGGTCTCGGAGGGAGGAGGAGGAGGAGGGATAGAAGGGAGCAGGAGGAGGGAAGAGGAAGAGGAGGAGGAGGAGGACGAGGAGGAGGAGGAGGAGGAGGAGGAGGACGGGGGAGGGAGGGAGGGAGTGAGGGAGGGAAGGAGGGAGGGAGGGAGGGAGGAGGAGGATGGGGATTGGTGCTGCGGTGCGCCGGGCATTTGTGCCTCGCTCCGCCCTGCCCCTCTCGGTCTAGGCTGCGCCAGGCGTTCGGGTTCCAAGCGGTCGGAGGGAGGTGCCCAGCCGCACCCGGGACAGCAGTGCGGCATCTGAGCATGCTCCTCCAGCCTCGCGGCCGAGGTCTGCCGCACGGCCGAGGACGAAAGCCTGTGCGGGGGTGTTTTTTACCCCCCCCCCCGCCCTCCACTTCAGCCTTCCACCGCAGCCCGCCGTACTCGTTGTTCGCCCTTCTCGTCTGCACCCATCTCACCAGCGCCGTCCGTCGATGCCGACATGACATCTCTGGCATCCTTCGTGTCCTCGACGGTCCATGGCGCCCCGCGCGACCAGAGGTGCCCGCCGACGGGAAGCGTCGCCTCTTGGCAATTCCTCACGCACTCAGAGGTCACTGGACCAGTGCGCCCCGCCTCCGCCTGCTTCTGCCCGCGGAAGCACGGCCAAGAGAAGAGAGGGGGGCGCGAACGATCAGGTGGAGGACAGGAATGGAGGCAAGGGCACGGATGCAGACACGGAGGAGGAGGAGGATCGGTGGCAGACTTAGCAGGACTACGATCAGCAGAAGGGGAAGGTGGAGCAGCGAGAGATGAGGAGGAGCACGGGTCGTTAACATTCACCGCGGCTGGTGTTATTGATAGGGAGCGAGATTAAGCCATACTTTGAGAGGTCGATTGTGGTTCGACGCTCTTCGGATTGAGTCCCGTGTGGAACTGTTTCCGCACGTCGCTGCGTTGTGGGATCACTCATGCGTGCCCGAGCTCTCAAAATGGTTTGGGTTGGACCTGTCAGTTCTTCGAGCAGTTGCCAGAGAGGGGGGCCTGACCTTGCCCTGAGAGTCTCGGAAATATATATATATATATATGTATACATACATATATCTATATACATAAAAATTCAGGACGTTGCAAAAAACGACCCGATCACACCCAATTGTGGGGAGTGTTGGGGGCTCGACCCCAAACTTGGAAACAGAGGTCCGAACTTGCTAACTTGGAGCGGTCGCGAACCCCACAATTCTTGAGGCCCGAATCTCGAAATCTGACGGCCCAAATTGGAAACAGAGGGCTTGTGCGGGAGATGTTAGACCCGCATCGTTCTCCTGGCCAGGGTGTCGGGCCGTTTTGGTATGGGTTGGGCGTGCTCTCCAGGGTTCGCTCGCGCTGGGTCGCCGCGTTTGGGCGCTTTCGGTGTTCCGAAGTCGGAAGGCGCTATTTCTCCTCATTCGAATCGTGGCTTTGAAGTTCACAGTTTGATGTGGTTGGGGAGAGGTCTGTTTCGGTATGTTACTTAGTGTTGCCTGGATGGGGGTTCTGAGTTTGTGGATGCTCCCCTTGGTGGTTTGCTGGGTCGGGCTTTCTGTTGCCAGGTTGGGCAAGATGTGCGATCCCCAATGCGGTTCAATCAACAATCCTGATGATAGCTTATGCGAAGCCTATGATAGATCCCCTGTGGGTCTGTGCACCGGCGATGTATAGGCCTGTATGGGGTGGAAACAGGCCTGTGGAAACCTCCGCCGTAGGACCTATGCACAGCCTGTGCACAGGGCTACCATAGGACTGTGTACAGTTAGTACACAGGCCTGCGGCAGGCCTATGCACAGCCTACCCATAGGCCTATCGATTGGCCGATCGACAGGTCGATGCACAGCCTCCCCGTAGGCTTATCGATAGGCCTAGCGATAGGCTGCCTCGGGGCCTGTGTGCTCACGAAACATATAAGCCGATGCACAGCCTGTGCACAGGCCTGTGCTTTGGCCTGCGCGCACCTTGTACACAGGCCTGTGACAGGCCTGTGGACAGGTTGTGCATAGGCCTGAGATGCGCCTGGGAGAGGGCCGACACTCCTGGACAGGCCTGCGTATAGCCTGCGCACAGGCCTGTCACAGGTTTGTGCACAGGCTGTGCACACGCTTGTGGTGGGCCTGTGCGCGGGTCGACACCCCACGACAGGCCTGTGCACAGCCTGCGCACAGGCCTACTACAGGCTTGCGGACAGCCAGTGCACAGGCCGTAAACCTTCGAACATTCTATAATATTCGCGTCCCCGAGGACATAAATCTTGGCAAATGACACAATATTCGTGTCCCCCAAGTCATACACTTTCGCACATTGCACAATTCTTGCGTCCCCGAGGCCACAAACCTTCGCAAATCATGCAATATTCGCGCCCCTCAAGCCATAAAGCATTGCAGATCATTCAATATTCGCGACGCCGAAGCCATAAACCTTCGCAAATTCGAATAGGCCCTCGCGTGAAGTCCCGACATCGCTTCACGTCAGCGCCCAGACATCCCATCACAGCTCTGGCAAGTCCCATTCTAAGAGAGGGGGGCCGGCGGCATGGGGGCGAAACCCTTACGGATATATGCGTGTGTGCTGATTCCCCAATCAGCGTTTGTACTGAAGGCGTCCTGACGGAGATTGAAGGATTTGGCGAAAGTACCGGGCCGATTTCGGTAGGCGGCCGGGTTCCCAGGTTCCCAGTTCAGGGTTCCTCGGTTCCCCGTTGCTGGTTCAGGGCCGATTTCGGTGGGCGGCGAGGTTCTTGGGTTTCTGGGTTCCCGGGTTCCTGGCCGATCTTCTTTTCGATCGGCTTCACCATCGATCTTATTACCTAGCTCTCTATCGATCTAACTACCAACCTCACGATGGATCTCACCATCGACCTCACAATCAATAATCCGTTATAGACAGAGAGTAGACTCTACCCCCCCGGGATTATCGACACCCCTTTGTCGCATTGCAAAAATATATGATTCTGCCCCATCGCCCATCCTAAATATGAATTCGTACCATCCCAGCCCGGCCGGTATCACCCCCCCCGTCATACTTTGCAAAACATGTTATGCGCGCGCATTCGCATATAAACAATGATAAGTGTTCAAGAATCCCTTGCTGAAAAAAACTGGACGAAATGCATACGCGCGCGTCGTCGCGCGCGCATGCCGGCATCCTTCAAAAACCTTCGGTTTCTTAGGGTGTCCAGAATCGAGTGTCAAAAATTCGGCTTCGGGGTGAAAGGGGGCCCCCTGCAAAATGACAGCGGGCGTAAACCACCCAAACCTCTTCCATCCTCCTCCTCCTCCTCCTCCTCCTCCCTCTTCCGCCTCCTCTTCGCATCATTCCTCCTCCTCCTCCGCCTCCTCCTTCTCCTCCTCCTCCTCCTCCTCCTCCTCCTCCTCCTCCTCCTCCTCTTTCTTTGTTCATCAAATTCAGAATCCTCTTACTCAACAGAATCCAGCAAACCTATAGGAAAAAGCAGAACCAAAAAAACATACAAGTAATCCTGAGGAGATTGCTGGGGGAGAGGCTCCTTCCATCCCAACCATAATCCTCTTACGGAACAGAATCAAGCAACACCCCATCAAACATCAAAAACAACAAAAAACAATAAAAGCAATCCAAAGGAACTTGCTGGGGGGGGAGGAGGAGGAGGAGGAGGAGGAGGAGGAGGAGGAGGAGGAGGAGGAGGAGGAGGAGGAGGGGGAACGGGGGAGGAGTCCCCCAGGATTGCGTGTATTGCTTCTTCTCTTTTTTCCAAGGGTTTGGCTTGATTCCGCCCCCGATAGGGGAATCTGATTGAGTGGAGGAGGAGGAGGAAACGGAGGAATAGGAGGAGGAGGACGACGACGACGACGACGGCGTCGGCGACGACGACGACGACGACGGCAGCGGCGTCGGTGGCGACGACGACGACGACGACGACGACGACGACGACGACGACGACGACGACGGCAGCGGCGGCGGCGACGGCGGCGGCGGCGACGACGAGGACGACGTCACAACACGCTCGAGCAGGCACGCTGCACTTCTACCGTGCTCCGGGCTTGCTCTTGCAGACTGCACCCTCCCTTCCACCCTTTCTCTTTTTCCTTCCGCACGGTGCATCAAGCAATAAAAGCAATCCAGAGGAACTTGCTGGGGAGGAGGAGGAGGAGGGGGGCACGGGGGAGGAGTCCCCGAGGATTGTTTTATTCCTAGAGTTTTGCTTGATTCCGCCCCCGATATGAGGAATATGATTGAGAGGAGGAGGAGGAGGAGGAAAAGGAAAAGGAGGAAGAGGAGGAGGAGGAGGAGGAGGACGACGACGTCGGCGTCGGCGGCGGCGACGACGACGACGACGGCAGCGGCGGCGGCGGCGACGACGACGACGTCACAACTCGCTCGAGCAGGCACGCTGCACTTCGACCGTGCTTTTGGCTTGCTTTCGCAGACTGTACCCTCCTTTCCCCCCTTTCTTCTTTGTCTTCCGCACGGAAGACTTCCAACATGTGTTGAGGCTGTAAGCAGGAAAGTATGTTGTGTTTTGTGTTTGCTCTATGGCCGATGGTGCATCCACAAATAAATACCCCCTCGGCCATGGACCCCGCCCTTTCCCATCCTCACTTCCTCCTTTTTTTTCCGCGTGGAAGACTTCCGACACTTGTGGGTTTGATAAGCAGGAAGCTTTGCATGTGTTTCATGTGCGGCTCTTGCTCCTTGATTCCTCCATGCCTCGAATGGGGGCATCCACACATGCGATGCCCCTTCGGCCATATGTGGCTCAGCCCAGCCCAGCCCAGCCCTGCAGTCCTGCACGCCGGCGCGCGTGGAGGGGTGCCCAGAACAGGTTCCGAACATAGGAGAACTGGGTCCCAACCCCCGCGCCCGAAAACACGGCAAGTCGCCTACACGCGACTTGCAATATAGTGTTGTCGTTGGGCGTGGCAGCGCGCAGCTTGCGATTGCGATTCGGCGTGGATTCAGTCATGCGTGTATGCACGTATGCGCTCGTTGATGCCTGCATGCGTCTACGCATGCATCTGTGCATCCACGTCATGGCAAGCCGCAGTATACGCACCGCAGAGCAGCGCCACGGCGAGGGCGCGGCCATGCTGGAGGGCATCCACAGAAAAAGCATGCCCCCTCATGGTGGAGAAGGAGGGGCCGACATGGCCGCAGCAATATTTCTCTCAAGCTTGCCGGCTCCAAGAGACATGTCCCCGTTCGCCCCCCACTGCCAATGGTTTACCGCATGGCAAGACGCCCGCGAGGTGTGAGGTCGCCAGAAAAAAGCCAGCCATCATCTTCACGTTCAATCGTTTGCTAAAAACACATGCTTTCGCAACGCGGATTTGCACAATTGATATATATATATATATATATATATATATATATATATTATATATATATCTATATATATATAATTAGTGCGCAGGCGTTCTTGCGAACTCTTTAGAAAACCATAAGTTCCCCCACATGTTCAGAAAATGCTGCCAAACGGATTTGGAGCGCGCGCATGTCGAAATCGTGCGAACGCCCTTGCGCGCGTGCCGTCGCGAGAATCCTCTGCCACAAATGAAACGAAAAGCACGCGCGCGCGCGTCGTCGCGCGCGCATGCCGAAATCGGTCCAAAACCGACGGCATCGCAACGGTTTCAAAACCGACGGTTTTTTTTCCCACGCGGTTTCGCGACAGCAGTATTCAAAAGCGTGCGTTCGTGTTCTTGCGCGTTCTTCCGAAAACCGTAGGTGTTTCAATCTGTTCATGGAATTTTGCCAAGCGGGCCTCTGGCGCCGCATGCCAACATCATTCGCCTGCCCTTGCGCGCGCGTCGGGGGCGCACGACCCGCGCCGAATAAAACAATGGGGGGCCACTCTCGCGCGTCGGCCGCGCGCGCATGTCGAACCTTTCCCGCCAAAACTTTCATCACCGACGCGTGGGCGCCATCGTCGTCGTCGGCGTGATCAGCATCGACGCCCGCAGTAGCCGCGCTTTCGTCGGTGTCAACATCGCCACCAGCATCGTTACTCATCGTGTCTGCCGTTGTCGGCGCTGACATGCTGAGTGCGCAGACTCGCATCGAAGTGCCCGCTGGGATGCGCCCAGCGGTCAGCGCCACCGCGGCCGCGCTGGCGGCGCCAAACTAGCTGGCCGCTGCGCGCGTGCTAGGGTTGGCGCGGCCGCAGAGATGCACCAGCCAACGCCAAGCATGCATCGCAACCGCCACCGCATGGGTTTGCAAACGAAGATGCGAGTGGGCGGGTGGGATGTTTGCAAGACCGTGGGATGTGTCAACTCGCTCGCGAAATCAATATCACCGTTGATTTCACTGGATCGACGTCACTATCGTTCGCACGATCGACCTTGCGATCGTCCCCACGATCGAACCCATTGTCGATATCGCGATCAATATCGCCATCGATCTCAATATCCGAAGCATTAAAACTTTTAAACCATCCACTGCTTGGCTTTTCTTGTTTAGTACATATATGCATATAAACACGGCCGTTACAAGAACAACAACTACCATCCATCGCTGTAGCTGTCGGGAACTTCAAGCTTCAGGATCAGCATTCGTGAGCCAGTCGCAGGCGAAGGACCCGTGCCGCCGACCTACCGACGTGTTTGATGGCGCGATGAGGAGGAGTTGTGCGCAAGAGAAAGGGCGGAGGGGGAGAGGGAGGATGAGGTGGTGGGCCCAAAAGGGCTAGTAGGGCCATGTCGGCTAGGGCCCAGCGTCTCCTGCACATTCCTCTTCTGGTCAGGGTCCTTCGGTTGCGCCCACGGGTCCCGCAGTCATGCCGCCCTCTCTCGCCTGCTCCGCTGTTTGCAGATTTTTCTCTGCTGGCCGGCATCGGACAATGGGTCCTGGAGCAAGCGGGTCTTGGAGCCATTGCCTCGTTCTCGGAGCCGCCGGGCCCTCCCGAGCCGTGGGACACGCACAGAAGCGACTCGGGATGATGAGCTGGCCTCGGGGAGAGCCCTGGTGCCCTGGGGGCCAGGACCCGCTTTTGCCGGGGTCCTGCTCCCTCCAGGCATTCGGCAAAGGGGGGGGAAGAGGGAGGCAGGGGAAGGGAGTCGCAGGCTGCGAGGGAGGGTGAAGGAGGGAGGAAGGATGGTGGAGGGACCAGGGAAAAGGACGCAGGCCCTGACATCCGCTGGTCTGATTTGTTCCATCCGCGGCGCCCCAGAGGTCCCGACCACTTCCCCAGGCCCTGGGATCCATTCCTGTTGGCCCCAGGTACCGAAATGTCTCCCCCGAGGGCCCACATTGAGAAAGAAAAACAAATCGTTGGCTGAAAAAATCGGGTCTCCGTTCTTCGTTTTCTCTGGCCGGGCCCTGCAGTGTTCCCGCCTGCAGTGTTCCAGCTTCCAGAGAAGCCTTGCCTCTGCGGTCCCGCCACTTCCGTGTACGATCTTCCGACGAACCTTGTCGGGCTCGCGCGGCCGCCACGGTGAAAAATCTAGGCAGAACGACCGGTTGAAAAATCAGAGCGTCTGACACCGGGGGAGGGCCCAGACATCGGGCGCTCCAAGTTTCTCGATGCGTGGGCCCCCAGAGGTTTGGACCGCCTCCCTATAGGGACAGCCCCAGGGCCCGTGGAGGGTCGCTGGGGGCCCCCGGAGGCCGAGGACGGCCAGAAGCAGGCCGCTGCCGATGTTTCGGGGCCTCGGTGCCTGTTTTTCTTTGGATTCGGGCAAGTTTACTTGCATGGACGGGGGGGGTGCTGAGTCTGAAGCAAGCCGAAAACAATTCGACGTGCGGAAATCACGCAAGTCGAGAGGCACTTGCACGCTCGTGTTCGATTGAAGAGGGGCGAGGGGGGAGAGGGGGGGGGGGGGGGGGGCGAACGCCATGCAAGTAAGCTTGCCTGGATCTAAAGGAAAAACAGGCTCTCGGACCTTCCGCGGGGAGGCAGAGCCGGAGCCAGGAGGCAGGGAGGAGGGCTCGCCCCGCCCGCGGCAGAGCTGGCCCGGCAGGCTGCCCCTGCTGCGGCCCTCGCGGTGAGCCTGGCCGCTCGGGCGCGCGTCCGCTCGCGTGGCGGCCTCGCGCGGGGCTGTGGGCGGGAGGGGGGGGCGGAGGAGGGCGCAGCACTGCGGAGCTGCGATGGGAACTGCGGAGGTGCGCCGGGCGTGTATTCGCCCTTTTTCGGGCCCTGGGGCCCTCACAGATCGATCTGGCTCGCAAAACACAGTACGGTGGGGGCGTCGGTAAAGGAATGTGCCCAAGAGGCTTCAGACCCTGGGGGATTCCTTGCCTGATGAGGGCGGCAGTGACATCCATGGCCAAGCCAGCATTGGAGTTCCACCAGCTTCCAGACCCTGGCTTCCTTATCCAACGCATCCTTATCCAATGCTCCCACCGTGTAAAAACAGGGCCCAGGGCGCCTGGTCGCGGTTGTTCTCGATGTTGCAGTTTCCGCGCAACGTCGGGTCGCAGTGTGTGTCCGCAGGTTCGAGGTTCAAGGTTTGAGGTGTTCGGGCGTTTCGGTCAGTTCTCGAGGGTTTTCCAGCCTCGGGGTGCCTTCCAGCAGCTGCGCCTCGCCGAGGGCGTTCCAGGGGTGCCCAGATCGTCCCGAACGGCCGCTGGAGGCCGGAGCTATGGCCCGAAAACCACCAGGAGCAGCGCTACCTGGGAATAGGCTCAGAGGAAGGGGTACGCGTCGACCCCCAATCGCCCACTCATCGTCGATAGGGGGCCCCAAATGCTCAACCCGCCCAGAAGCGTGCGGGCTCACTAATTATCAGGGGCCTTTGGCCGATCTGTCGGCGACGTATCGCCGATTCCAGGTCGATGTTCCCCCCTGAGCTTCTATTTTGAACAGGAAGAGTGGTCCTCGAGGTCTTGTGCGAGGTCTTGTGCGGGATGTCTTGTGTGTGCTCTTGTGTTGGGCTCTGGGCGTCGATTCGCGTGCTCTGCACAAGTCGGCGCCTGGTGCGTGACCACTCTTCGCTCGACCGCTGTGCCCACCTGCAGGGGGGGGAGCGTGGAAGAGGAAGCAAGTCTGCGGAGTTCCGGCCCCCGACGGCCGAGGCGGCAGGACGAGAGGTTGCCGCCGCGCTGCGCCGCATGGTGTGGGGCAGGTGTGTGGCTGGCGGGGCACCAACTGGGCGGGATTGCCTCGCAGGGAACCCCCCCAAGGGCTTTTTGAACACAAGCTAGCGAACAGACAAGCAAAATCATTAGTTACAAACAAACAAACAAACAAACAAACAAACAAACAAACAAACAAACAAACAAACAAACAAACAAATAATAAGTGCACACCGCACTCCCCCGCTCGCCCTCCGGGTGCGGCCACCCACTGGAATGTCGCGGCGGGGGGTCGTCGGGAAACAAGACTGCTAGCACTTTGTGAATCTCTGCTGCCCGATGTGTCGAAACGTGTGCTCCCGAGCGGGCGTTCTCTCCGAGTCGCTTGCATTCTGGGCAGCCCCCCAGCGGAGGATGAATGCTGCAAGCGGCACCAGCCCCTTCCCGACTCTCCACGGCCACGCACCCAGCGAGACGGGTCCCTGGCGGAGGGCCCTGGAGGCCAGGGTCATTGCCAGGTCGCACCGTTCCGCGCAAGGTTTCCATTCGTCGGCCTCTCGCCTGGGCCTCCCCAGGATCCTAATCCTGGTCTCGCTTGCCCCAGGCTCGGCTACATCAGCCAATGAGCTCCCTTTCCGCTTGTTCCAGCCTTGCCCTAGTCCTCGACGCTCTCCGCTGAGCTCACCCAAACGGCCAGCCGCTTGGATGGGCACAGCGATATCCAGCTGCCCGCGGCAAATCCCAACACCATGCCAGCCCAGCACTCTGGGTAGCGACTGCTCGAAAAGGCACAGGAGGCCGTGACGTCTGACACTTCGTGTCCCGAGGCTTGGGAGAGCCGTAACATGTGACACACTCTTCCGCATGGTGTCGAGGGTTCTCTTCTGGTGGCTCTCTTCTGGTCTTCGTCGTTTTCCTCCCTTTCTTCCGTACTGTCTTGGGCTCCTGTGGGGCAGTCTTCTGGATCCCTTGGGCCACTTGGGGCTGGCTTGAGGTCTCTCTAGGGCCGCACTCGGGCCCCTTAATTAGCCGTTTGGTGTGTCTCTGGGCCCTCTTAGTTGTTTGGGGTGCCTCTTGCGGTCGTCGTAGGGCCGTCCTTCCCCCATTTTGGGCCGTTGAGGGGCTTTCGAATGCCGATTTGAATCCCTCAAAGGGCTCTCTTGGGCCAGCTTGGAGCTCTCTTGGGGCTGTTCTGGCCCGTCTAGGGGGCCACCAAGGGCTGTCTCGAAGCCGCATTGAGCGATTGTTGGCCCATTTGGGGGAGCGTTTGGGCCGCCTTGGGGTTAGTCTGGATGCCTCTAGTGCCGTCTAGAATTGGATGAAGCCTGAAAGGTTGAAGCCACAAAATAAGCACAACAACTTGTTGGAATGTCCATGTGAACTAACACTCGTGTCTAAGAATGCAAAGCCCTCTCACGCTCGTGTTGCTCTGTGCCAGCATTGGTGCAAGCGTGCCGCTCCCGTTTCTGGCTTTCTGTACGCCTACAGGGGGCCCTTCGAGCACTGCTAGTGTGCGACCGCCTCGTATGATCGAGCAAAGATCGCGGTGCATCCATATCATCCATCGGTGGCGCTGTGTGGTGGGGACGATTGTCACAACGGCGCTGTTGCAGAAGAGTATATTTCACATTGGTGTGTGCGGAACGGCGGCCCACGGCACCACTACCAGTGCGTTGTTTGCGACGACACTGACGCTCGCCTCCCTCGCTTTCGCCGCCCTCATCATGTCGCCGACGCTGTCTTTCGAGCAGGGAATCCCACTGCACGACGGCACGCCAGGGTTGCTGGAAGAGCACCTGGACAGAATCGACACCTCGCGTGTCCGCACGACGAAGGACGCAGTCAAGAAAACGTGGCCGCTAGACCCGAGGCTCTACGATGCTCCGGGAGGCGAAGCCTACACTGCGGTCAAGGCCACCAACATCGACAATATGGACCTGGGCACGGACTCAGGGTTAGAAGCAATCGCGATGGCGCTGAAGTTTGCCATGCAGGTTATCGGGCCGAACCGCGTTGGCGAGTTGTTCGACAGGTGTTCGACAGATACTCCGACAGTTCGAGCCGACGCAGCGCTGAAGCAGCGGGTTCGTGGTTGACGAAAAAGAAGCGAGATTCGACAGCAGCTGCTGGGAGCCGACAGGACGACACAATTGAGCGACAATATCGAGGCCTACTTCCTGTTGAAGCTGAATGGCTTGCCCAAGGCCCAGCGGCCCCAGTTGCCTGCGAGCTGCGGCAACGTCTACGACCCCAAGATGTTGACAGAGGCCATCAAAGTGCAGTTCGCCGATTTGCACGAGGCAGAAGGACGACCGCGACACGGGCGCGATCGCCGAGAAGGGAAGCACGAGAGGAGGCACGCCTACGTCGCAGAGAGACATATCGAAGACGAAGCAGAGCCAGAGCCAGACGATGACTATGGAGACGATGGCGATTACGGTGAAGGCATGACGGACATTGAGGACGAGCTGAATGAGCTACAAGACGGAGTCGAGGTTGGCGATGAGGGCGCACAAGAGCAGCTGGCGGTGCTCAGCGAGTGCCTCGTTGCGGAGCTGGTTGCGTACATCGCCAGACGGGACCTGCGCGAGCGATAGGTCCAGGCCCGAAAGTCCAGTCTCCCCGGGAAGCTGGTGAACAAAAAAATCAAGAGACGGCGGCCAAGAAGAAGACCCGATGCAGGGCGCGTGGAGCGCTCGGCCACTGGGCAGGAGATCCCGGTTGCGCCAAGACGGATCGCCCGCTGCCACCGCGAGAGGATCGAGGCCGATTCCAGTCGCGCGGCGGCAAGGGCGGCGGCGGAAAGAACAAAGGACGGAGGAAGAATCCGGGGCCTGGGGGGGCTTCTTCGCCGTCGGGGACGACGCGGACGACGACGCCGAGGAGGCGCGTTTCGCGGCCAGCGCAGAGCAGGACAAGGACAAGGACAAGGACAAGGGCGACAAGCGATCCATGTCGCCGGAGCACTACTGGATGGTGGATGAGCCGCGTGGGCAGACTGCGCTTGGTCCGCGACCGTCATCGTCGGCAGCAGCGGCGGCGGCGCCAGCGTCGGAGCCCGACGAAGAGCTACGCGGGCGGCAAGGGTTCCGCGCGCGTCGAAGCACCGCGGGCGAGCGGCGGGCGCCAGACGCCAGTCAGGCACGGAAGTGCTGGAGAGATGTGGCAAGCCTTGCGTTGCGGCGGATTGCGCGCGCGAAGGTTTCGGCGCGCGCGTTGGCCGAGAGGGCCGCGCCGGGAGCTGCGGGCGCTGCCCCGATGCGGCAGCCGCGGCGACGTCCAGCGGAGCGAGCGGCAGTGCGCCGCAAGCAAGCAGAGCGTGGATTGCAAGTGATGGCGGACCGACTGCCCACGTACGAGCTGGAGGAGTGCGCATTTCGATCCAAGATGACCGCCGAGCGCCAGCGACTCCACGTGCGAGTGCACCGGGGACGCCGGAGACGGGCGACAAGTGCGACGTGCCAGAAGGTGAGATCAGGCCCTGGATCATCATGCTTAAGTGGCCGCCTGGCAACCCCAGACGGTAGGAGATGCCCCGATGGCGGAACGGTGCATGGTAGCAGAAACCAGTGCGCCATCGCGTGGAAGTATGACTGCGGCGCGCGGAAGGCAGAGACGCACATGCTGACGGGCAAGAAGTGTCATCGCGGACAGATCGGGAGGAGTTTCAGTTACATGTCGATCGAAGAGTCCGACGACCGTGACCTCGTGGGAGTTCGCGGCCGTGGCTGACGTCACAGACGTCCAGCGTGAGTGAGACGATGACGAGATCGCCAGTTTGGACGCGACGTGCGCGAGCACTACGCGCGGCGACGAATGGCCGGAGCGGTGCTCGGCGAAGCTGAACGAGAAGCACGGGTTGCGCGTTGAGCCCCGCCCGCGCAAGGTGAAGCACCGGTTTGGCGGCGGAGAACGCAGGGGGCGAAGTTCGGGGATGTGCTGCCGATCGGCGTCGGTGGAGAGAACGGGCAGATCATCTCCAATCGGATCCCAGTGTCACCTGCGAAGATGCCGCTGTCGCTCAAGGCGCAGGAGGCGCCGAGCGTGGTCGTCGACCTAGTCGAGGGGGCGGCGGACTTCAGGAATGGAGTGAAGCCGCGGAGGGCGAGCGAGGGGTGATGGGGCGCGAAGATCGCTGACTTTGCCAGCGCCGGTTTTGACCGGCCGGAACAGCTGGGGAAGGAGACCGCCACGCGCTGCGCCCGGACGTGGCGCGGCGGCCCATGAAGCCGCGGGGGACATCGACAGGAAGGCATCGGCGGGCAGCTTGCCCATCCACGAGGTGCCTCGTAGGATCGCGACGGAAGGCAAGGGCTAGATCATCCGGCGGGAACAAGCGGAGATGTTCAGCGACGAGGAGGGAGTTCGAGCCGCGGCGCGCGGCGATCGGCGAGGGCGATGGCCCAAGGGGCGCGTCATTAACGAGGCGCGGAGTTGTCGCTGGCATGGCCATGCCCCTGTCAAGGACCTGCCACGTGGGATGCCGGGAGCCACGCGGCACGCAGCCACGGTCATGGACGTGCCTTGGAGGGCGAAAGAGGGGGTCTGCAACGGGGGGTCTTCAATGTGGGCTGAATGGCCCATGTATGCACGATGTATCGCTTGTGTATGCGATCGGATATAATTGGCATCCAATGTTGGCAGTCATGGGGAGCCGGTCACTCGCGCCCGCGCGTTGCCCGCGCGGGCGAACGCGCCGTCCATCCATTATCGTTCACGCGTGCTGGCGATATTGCATATTGCGCGTGGGGCGGCGAAGTGGCGTGCAAGTGTGTCTTGATTGTGCGATTGAAATGATCGTGCATGCTCCCAAACGATGACTTGTCGACCCCCAGGACAGATGTAAAATGAGTCCCGCGATTCTCCCAAAATGTGCATTCACGTGTTCTTTCTTCCCATTCATGTGAACTCACATTCTGGCCCCTTCATGCTGAATCCCACGCAAAATTTCAAACTGTGAATTCACATTGTCCTTTTGTCCAAAATGTGAATTAACATTTTTCGTTTTCCCAACATGTGAATTCACATGCCGCTTTTCCCCACAACGTGAATTCACATGTCAATATCCCAAAACTGAAGCGCAGTGTTCCGCGCGTTAGATTGGCTGGACAGATTTGGCACCCAGCTCACCGCTTCCGTTCATCCAAACCTTTTTGTCGCGCCCTCGGCGCGCGTCACCGTGGCGACCCGCGGTCGACGATCGCCCCGTGGCCGCGTGGACCGCGCAGCGGCCGGCCCCGCCTCCACGTCGCACGCGGAGGTTCACTCGCGGCACGCGCGGGGGAATCGGGAGAAGCCGCGGCCGTTGATGGAGTTCAGTGCGAGGGTCGTCAAGCACCGCTTGGAGCGCGGGAGGCTTGTTTTGATGGGGAATCCGTGGGCGAGCGACGCCTGGCAGGACCCCGCGCTTGAGGAAGTGCCGACGGGCCCTGAGATGGGTTTCGCCCGCGGAGACATGCGCCAGTGGAACCTCGGGGGCACCGAGGGCGGACGGCCCTACTTAACCCAGTGAGTTCGCGGTGAACAAGGGCGCGCTCGCGGAGAGGCTCACGCGGAGATGCGATGCACGACGTCGACGCGACATGATCGAGGGCCCCAATGCAACGGGGCCCGGAGGGCGCAAGCCGGACGGTGCCCGCTGCAGCTGGCGGAGGACATATTGCTGGGCGCGCGCGAGGAGCTGCTTGAGAGGCATTGCGAGCAGCTCGCGGGGGGCCCAGGAGTTCATCGACGAGACCCGCGGGAGGCCGATGCGGAGAGGCTCCGCCATTGTCGACGTGGCCCATGAGTGCGCAGACGAGTCTGGGAGCTACACCCCGCGATTCACAACGCGTGGATGGACGCCAAGTTCGACCCGAAGAGTCTATCCCACGAAACTCAGGCACGATTGACAGGAGATCGCGAGACTGCGGGCGTCGACGACAACGGAGGAGCACCCATCAGCAGGACGACTGGAAGGTCAGCCCTGCTCCGCCCATGTCGTGCTGGCACGGAAAAACCATCTTGCGCCACGCGCCGAACGAGTCTGTCGAGGGCGAGCGGCCAACAGCAACCGCCAGACGTCGGCGCCATGCCAGCGCCGCCATCACCTCCACCACACGACGAACCACGGCGACCCAAAGACGAAGAATCACGCAAGGCCTGGAAGGCAGTGGTTGCAAGCCTACGCCGAGCATTACTACGCCTACACGCGACAGCAGGGCACCCGTCGAACGAGGCGATCCAGCGTCTGCTGCGGCACGGTCGTGCCACGCCCGAGGCTATCAAGGCAGCTGGGCATGTGTGGGTGCAGCGCGTGCGCCAGTCCGGCGAAACCAACTGCGTCGGGACCTACCAAACTGCCGGTGACGCCGCACGATTCCAACTACCTCATCGAGATTGACGTCCTCGAGGAGCACAGAGGCCAAAGGCACTCGAGTCTCGCTCCTCAACGTGCCGCGCGACGGGGCAGGGTACCAGCAGGTAATACCAGTGCGCCACGGTGGGGGGAACCCTACAGGCAAGGAGCTATTCGAGGCGCTCATGTCCAGGTGGGCGTCGTGAGCAGGCACGCCCTACCGAGTGTTCATGGATCAGGCCCGCAACAACATGGCCCGCGTCAGGGAGCAGCTGATCGCGCGCGGAGCACACTGTGAGTTCACCAGCGTGGACATCACCTTCACCTCGGGCGACGCGAGCGAGCTGGCGCTGTCTGGAAGGAGCTCTGGAGACGCGCGTGCTACGACCAGCAGCTCAACGCCAAGGGCGACGTGGAGATCGGCGCGGCCGAGACGAACAAGGCGAAGAACTCCATGATGCGGAGAGGCATTTTCGCACCTGTGCAGTGCGTACTCAGAAGTGACGCGTGGACTCCTGGCAGTCTGGTTGATCCCGCGGAAGCGAGCCGCTTGGAGACGCACGAGGCAATCTTCACACCAGGGGGCATGACGACCAAGACGAGGTGCTGAAGTTTCAGCATTGCGGCAAGACGATCGAGCAGAGCAGCGACGGGACTGTGGAAATTGGGCAGAAGGAGCGCGCCAAGGACATCATCCATATCCAGATCGCACTGGGCAGGAAGCGACAACGGGATGCAGCATGTTCCCCAGCCGAGGTCTCCAGCTACGCGGGCGCCGCGGAAGTCCGTCATGGTTGCGGCGACGGACAAGGCCGGATCTGTTTTTCGCGAGCCCTACTGGACAGTCAGCTTTCGCGTCGCCGACGATGAACGACTTATTCGAGTGTAACAGGGCGGTGATGCAGGCGCACGGTTTGCAGATCGGAAGGTCGCATTTCGTGGTGGTTTTGCGGGCTGGCAGAGTGCAGGCGCGTTCCCGAGCGCGGACTCGGCGCGCGCGAATGTCCAGGACGTCGCGCTGCAGCACGGAAAGGGCGGCAAGGCTACAGGCCTCCAGACGGGGCCCTTCTGCAGCCAGCATGGGCGAGCGGTCGAGCTGACGACGCCACCCGACGAGAACGGCAACGCGAAGATGCACGTCGTGGAGCGGAAAAATCAGGTCGAGAAGCGCGTTTGCAGGAGCACCCTGGCGGCGGAAACGCACTCGCTGGCAAAGGGCGCCGAGACGGGGGATTGGCTCAGGGCGGCGTTGCTCGAGAGTCGCGGCCCTGGGTTCCACGTTGCCGAGTGGGGGGGTCGGACGAAGGAGATCCACGCACTGTGAATGTGCGATGCCAAGAGCGCGGTGAACCACCTGAGTAAGGACGCGGGCACGCCCCAGGACAAGCGAGCGGGCATCGAGCTCGCGGCGCTGAAGCAGTTACTGGTGATGGGGTGGAGATGAGCTACGCTGGGCGGACACCAGCGCGATGCTGGCAGACCGTTTGACCAAGGGAAACGCGCTGGACGACGAGGTCGTTCAGCGGGTGTTGTATAGCAACGAAAACAACATCAACGCCAGCACAGATGCGAAGGAGTTCAAGGACCGCAAGGCGGCGATGAGGCGGGACTTGGAGACAAGGCGCAAGGCGGACTCAGCTGGAGCCGAGACGAAGCAGCATACGACCTCAGGCGGAGAGCAGGAGGCCACGTGAGTGAAGGGTTAATTCGGATTTCAGTTCTTGCGTTCATGTCGTAGTTTCTCATGTCAGCTGGTCGCTGAGTTTGATCTGCGGCAGAATGGCGAAGACTGCAGGATCCTCTCACGCTCGTTTTGCTGTGTGCCAGCATTGATGCCGGCGTGCCGCTGTTGTTTTCTGGCTCTCTGCATGCCTGCATGGGGCCCCTCTGGGCACCGCTACTGTGCGACCGCCTCGCGCGATCGAGCAAACATCGCGGGGCGTCCATCTCACCCATCGCTGGTGTCGGAGACGCTTGTCAAAACGGCGCTGCTGCAGAAGAGTATATTGTAGTGGCTTCATGCCAGCGCCTCCGATCCGGAAGCGCGATGGCGGTCATGACCGGCGACGACGGCGAGCGGTGAGGATGATGATGAGGATTGGGAATGGAGGCAACGGAGTAGGGTGAGAAGGAGAAGGAGGAGGAGGATGATCACGATGAGGTGGATGGGGGGGGTGATGATGGTGGGGGGAGGCGCAGAAGTCGCAGGATGCTGAGGATGAGGAGGAGCATGAGGAAGCGGGAAGTGGAAGAGGGGGAGGGGGAGAAGGAGGAGCATGACGAGGATGAGGAGATCTTCGGCGGTTGTTGGAAATTGTTCGGCGGTTGTTGGAAATCCTCTTTGGGGCCAAATGTTGGCCCTCTTTGGATTGGCACCTCGCCGATGTGGCGCACTCTCTGCAAAGCTTTGTGCTAGAGCTGTCTGCGTCGCAGTTCTTTCTGGAGCCTCGTGCATCACCAGTTTTTGCAAAAAAACCATGGTGTTTTCGGGGTCTCTGTGACTTTCGCGCGGTCATCTGCGGGCCCTTCGTGAGATCATGGATGTGAAGGACACTGAAAACGGAAAAAATGCGAAAACGTGGAAGAACCTTTTGGATTGCAGCGCTTGTGTTCAGACGCGAGGGTCTTGGAAGCTTTGGGGTTGATTTTGGGCTTTCCGGGGGGAGTTTTGGAGGCAGCGTGGAGGCCTCATACAAAGCGTCTTGGATGCACTGTTTGAGACTCCAGGGGGGCCATTGGGCGGCTTCAAATGAATGCCTTTTCGGGGCCAGTTGGAAGCGTCTTGGGGCCTCTTCAGGCCTCTTCTGGGGGCCTGCTGGGGGATTCTTGGGCCGTCTTCAGCGTTTTTTCCCGCGATTTTGGCGCCTTCTCAGGCGCCTTTTGGGCACGTCCAAGGGCCCTCGTTGGCCTTTGCGGGGGCCTCCTGGGCCATTTTGGGCCTTTTTGGGGCCGTTTTGGAGCCCTTTTGGCGACTTGTTGGGCCGTTTGGGGGTTTTCTTGGGGCGCTTACGACGCTCTGAAGGCCCAAGAGGCGAATATACTAAACGTATACGTTTTCCGTGGGGAGTGAGATATTTTCTGTTTCTTTGGGTTTTTTTTTTGGGGGGGGGGTCCTTTCTTCAGGGTTTCTGAGGGCATCTTGGAGGCTTCTGGAGCCGTCTTGGGGACATGTTGGGCGTCTTGTAGCGATCGCTCGGCGACTCGGGGCCTCTTGGCCCATGTCGAGGCCCTCCTGGGCGAGAGGGCCGTCCCGGAGCGAGCTGGAGCTTCGATTCCGCCCCAGGAATTAAATCACCCCCCCCCCTTTCCCTACCCCGGCAGAGCCACCCGGGCACCCGCCCCCCAGTAGAGCCGAAGCTCAGGAATCGAGGCTCAGGCTGTTCTGAGGGTATGTGAAACTCACACGCCGGATCGGCGGATTTCATAGTCAATGATTGGGGCATCTTCGGGCCCAACTGGAGGTCCTCGTGGCCCTCCTGGGCCGTCTTGATTAGTAGCCTTGGTTGCTTCCTTCGGCCATATTGGAAATTCGGGAGCGCGGGCCCATAGACTGTTGCATGGGATCGATCGTGGCCTCAAGAGCACGCATCGTGGTCTCGTGAGCGCGGGCCCACCGCTTTGCTGCAAGGAATCGTAAATTCGGAAGCGCGGACCTGCGTGAGCGACGCAGAAAAACGTGGTCATCTTCACCGACACTAGCGCGTAAAAGTCCCGCGGAAGGTCGCGCGTAAGCGCCCTCTCCTCCAACGTAGCGTGCCGTGCGGGCGGCCTGCGTAAGCCACCGCGTAAGGTCGTTATGTCAGTTCGAGTAAGACCCGCTTCTTGTCGCTCACGTGGTTTTTACAACGGATCGCGGCTTCGGGAGCGTCGATCGTTGTCATTATCAAGGGATCGTGACCTCGGGAGGGGTGACGGTGCACGCGGCACTCTGCGGGCAGGGCAGGTTTTTTTTCACGTAGCACTTGGCATTCTACAACGCCTCAATGCACCAGGGGGCACGGTGGTGGATTGTGACTGGCACGAATGTGAGTTTCAAGAGTAAGGAGTAGCACGCAGAAGTACCCCTACCGATCATAATGTTCGGCCAGGTACGATGTACACTGCCGTCCCGGCAAGCATCATCCAAAGGAAAGGTCGGGGGATTCGCCAGCTCTGCGGGATTGGCCAGGCCAGCGTGCTTCGGTGGAGCTGCAGGACGTCGAAAACAATAGCATCATTTGTCACCTGACATCAGCGGACGACGAGCGGAGTATAGTAAGACGTGCCCCGCCAGGGAAGTGGAAGTGAGTGCACAGTTAGGTATAAGGTCTCCAAAATGGCCCTGATGCTGAAGAAAGCAACGTCGGCAAGGCAGCTTTCAGAGCATCCTTCGTGACCCCGTCACGGCAATGCGCTGCTCTACGCCCTGAACGAAACCTCAGCATTATCGGTGAGTGCAGCTTCGTGCTACCAGGAAAACTTCAACCGTGTTGTGGGATGTGTTCCATGAGAGTAGCGAGCTGAAGCAGTGGAGTAGGACGAGGAGGGGGAGCATCAATGTGCCCCTGGAGGATGGGCCTTGTCTGTCCGGCGTAGCGTTGACGTATCACCTAGCGGTTGCCTAGCTTACAGCAAGCTCGGTTGCCAACTGCAACGCGCGTGGTATCCAGGATGTGTTAGACTGCCCTGTTTTTCGCATAGCGGCAACTGTGTATATAGTAAGTCGTGCTCTTCTTCGTTTCTGTTCAGGTTGAGAGGTGCTCTTCACCGCATGGTCAGGGGTTAAGGAGTTGCGTCAGATGATGTGCGCCGCTCTTGGAAAGGATCAAAGGCTGAGAATTAGTCCCCAGGTTTTTTGTGCCCATCCCTCTAGAGAAGACTCGTTAGTGAGCCAATCCCTCCTCCTGAACATACCAGACGCCAGTGCTCAAAAGTCAGGAGAACGTGTTCGGCAGTGTGTGTGTGTGGCTGAGCTTGCAGACTCGCGTGCCGAGCGCGAGCGTCCGAAGCCGAGCGTGGCCGAGGACCCCTGGACTGGGCTTCGAGGAAGAGAACGATGAGGCAAAGCGGGAGGCAGATGCCCACTGCGGGCTCTCGCTGCCCGCGCCGGCGGATCGGCACAGCTCTGGTTGCAGGGCGCTCCGCTCGTTGGTGCGCCGCGGGCGCCGTCCGCGTGTCCTGAGAGGGGCGCCGTCCTCAGTGGCGAGGCCTCTTCTCAGGGCGCGGGGGGCCGTGTGTGTTGGCGTGCGCCTCCCGCCCCCTTCCGGGGGCGGCCAAGAGAGGGGTGATGACCAGGGCGGGTGGATGCCATGGCCAGCGGCCAGCGCCATGACATGGCGCCTCCTCTTGTTTCAGCACGTCCCCTGCCCCTCCCCCCCCCCCACCCCCGCTGCGCAAGTACCTCGGGCCATGATTTGTGACTCCCTTTCTTGGACGCCCCCCTCCTGGACGCCTCCGACCCTTCCTCCTCCCCACGTCCCATTCCATCCCTGTTCAGGGGGGGGAGGGGGGCTCTTCACTGCAGTGGTTTCTCGGCCGTTGCGCCTCCCGCCCCCAATGCGATCGAGTCGCGGTTCAAGTCGGACCCAGTGCTTGACCCTCTACCCTTCCACGCAAACCGATTCCTCACGACGTGGCCCAGCGTCTCAGGTTGAACTCTGAATGGCTGGTTCCGTCAGAGATCGGCGCGGAATTACACAATGTCGGATGTCGTCATTAAGTTGTCCAACCCCGTCGTTCAGTTTTCAATGTCGGATGTCGTCATTAAGTTGTCCAACCCCGTCGTTCAGTTTTAGTCGTGAGTGCCAGATGCCGTGTCATAATATATCTCGTTGGTTGCGGCAAACACCGCCATCTTGCCTATGCTGAGGCGTAGCAGGAAGGAGTTTGGATTCCCAGCGCTTCACGTATCCCCACCAGTCCATCCAGGAATGGTGCCCCCTTCTCGGGCAAGCGTGGCATCATTTGGAGAGGCCGGGGAGCCTCCATGGGCCAGAGGCTTCTTTGATGCTTCTCGGAGTCTCTTGGGATTTCGAGGCCTTCTGGCGGCTCTTAGGGAGCCGCTTGGGGCGCGTTAGGGGCCTCTTGGAGGCTCAGAGGCCTCTTGGGACGTCTGGGACGCCTCTTGATGGTCTTCAGAGCCTCACGGGTCGTCTTGGGTGCCTCTTGGGTGCCTCTTGGGGGCCGCTTGGTCCAGGAGGCTTGTTTTAATCCCCCTCGGAAGGGGGATGGGGCGGTTTTCGACCCCTTATTGGTTTACGTGTACCTCCGAACATATACAACTTGTATCATACAATGCATTGTAGTGGCCTTCGGCCAGAGCCGCCGATCCGCTGAGCTCCTGATGCTTGTGGGAATGTACGATGATGACGACAACGGACGACCAATCGTCGACGAGCGGGATGATTATTACGACGACTGACGAACGGGTTAACGACGACGATTGACGACGACGATTATGATGACGACGACGACGACCGACGATGATGATGATGACGATGATGATGATGATGATGATGATGATGATGATGATGATGATGATGGTGACGAGGATGATGATGATGATGATGATGATGATGATGATGACGATGATGATGATGATGATGATGATGATGATGATGATGCTGATGCTGCTGATGATGCTGATGATGATGATGATGATGATGATGATTGATGATGATGATGGTGATGGTGATGATGGTGATGATGATGATGGTGATGGTGATGGTGATGGGCCAGCACCGGGGGGGTGGGGCCCGTCACGGGGGGGGGGGTCGGCACCAGAGGAGCGGGTGCCGGCACCCAGGGGTGGGGCGGGGGGGGCCAGACACCACGAGGGAGGGGGACGCCCGCACCGTAGGGGGGTGCCGGCAGCTGGCGCCGCGGAGCTAGCGCGCTCGGAGTTTGCCAAAGTAGATCTGCGAATCAAGCGCTCGAAGAGCAAGCCCGTCGCGTCATCAGTCGAATTGCGTCTCAAGTTGCAGGCTCGGCTGAAGCGTCTCTCCGTCCAGGGTGCCGCCACCGAGCGACATCTTGGCATCGATTTCTCTGAAGGTAGGCTTGCCGCGCGCCAGGTCGGGCATGAACGTGCGCCGCCAGCGCGCGCCAGGCGCGGCAAGCTGCTCGCGTTTGGCCGTCTGCTGAATCGTAAGCAGCTGCATCACATGGTCCAGTCTGATATTATGTCTTCCGTGTCTTACGGACATCAGGTCCTGGGCACTAAGAACACCGAGCTGCGCGAGGCGCGGCGCCGGCAGGCGCAGGTGGAGGCTGCGCGAGTAGATGGTCGCTCGATTTCCCTCAAGCTGCAGCTCGCGGATGTCGATAAGGTCGACCCTGCCTGTAAGTTGTGCAAGGGCCCCCTCGTGGCTCTGGCCTCCGCGGCTTGGGATTCCTGGAGGCCCCTCTCCATCCTCCGCAGTGGTGTTGAGGAAGCTCGGGGCAGGCTTTCGCAGCGCACCTCCCCGTGGCAGAGCATCCGTGGGCCCTTCCGTGCGTCTGTAGCTTCAGCCTTGCGGCTTAGAGTCAGCATGCAGGGCCTCCAGTGGTCCCACCCGTCGATTGGGCGCTTCGCTCCTCTGGACCTCTCCCCTCGCATTCTGGGGTAGATCTTGGACCGCCTGGTGGAGGGTTGGATTTGGGGCAGGGTGGCTGACCATCTGGAGTGTCCCGAGTTTGAGAATGGAGCTTTGGCTGTGCCCCATCCTGAAGGTTGCGCGGTGAAAAGGTCAGCTCCCAGGGAGCTGCATATCTTCGCAGCGGCGGGAGGCCAGCACCCGGGGGGAGGTGCTGGCACGCCAGCACTGGAAGGGGGGTGCCGGCACCGGGAAGGGGTGCCGGCACCGGGAGGAGGAGGTGCGAGCATCGGGGGGCGGGTGCCGACATGGGTCTGCGGGTGCCTGCACGGGGGGGAGAAGTGTCGGATGCGAGGGACAGGGGGGGTGCCAGCACCAGGGGGGGAATGCCAGTATCGGGGGGGGCATCGGGGGGGGTTGCCGAGCACAGGTGCGGGGCGTCGGGGGGGGGGCCTGGAGGGGGGGGGGGGGTGCGGGATGCCAGCAGGGCGGGAGGCCAGCACCGGGGGGGAGGTGCTGGCACGCCGGCACTGGAGGGGGGCGGTGCCGGCACCCGGCACGGGGGGGGCCGGCACCGGGAAGAGGAGGTGCGAGCACTGGGGGCGGTAACGACACCGGGGGGCGGGTGCCCGCACGGGGGGGGGGGGGAAGTGTCGGAACCGAGGGACGGGGGGGGGTGCCAGCACCAGGGGAGGGGGGGGTGCCAGCATCGGGGGGGGGGCATCGGGGAGGGGGGGGGGGCCAGCCCTGGGGGGGGGGGGGGCGGCGTCGAGGGGGAGGGTGCCGAGCACTGAATGCGTCGGATGAGGTCGGATGAGGTCCCCCCCCCCGGCAGAGCGAAGCTTGAGCGAGCTCAAGCCCACGCTCTCAGAAACTCACACGCTGGATCGGCGGATAATCGGTGTTGGAGAGGGGTGTGGTTGTCGAGGGGATGTCGGTTGGGGTGGGAATCGGTCCTAGAAACATTGAAAAAACTTACCAAACGACACAGGAGCCTTCTTTTACGCCCGCTCCGTGTAGGCACGGCGGCGGATTTGCTGTTAGAAAAGCATCGCGCGCACGAACGTTCCATCATTGAATAGGGACGCATATCGGCCATTTTGTTTCATTGATCGCGACGCACGTCCTTCTCATTGACGCAGCTGTGTCCTGGCATCCTTGGAATACGCAAGGTTCCTGCCAGAAGCTATATCACCGCTCAGAGCTGTCCTTCCGCAGCTTCCGCCTCACCTGCAAGACGCGGGTGGCACCAAGGGCGTGAGGAAAGTGTTTTTGTTGTCGTTTGCCGTGATTGACTAGTTTTGCGTATTTGTTTACGTGTGGTTTCAGATTCGAATTTTGCGCAGGCATGTTTGCATTGGCAGTGCTTGAAAAATTGCATGTGTTGTTGAGCACGAGTGTTGTGTGATGGTTTGCGTTGTCCCTTGCGTTCAGAGGGCACGCCCGAATCTGACCCACTGCTGAGTGTCGCCACTGGCCCCGTTATCATACCCGGCCTTGCTTCTCGCGGCCATACCGGTTCTTAGTGTACCTTTGTTATTGCAGAATTGGTTGCATGTCTCGCAGTTACAAGATGAGCTCCATCAAGCCCAGCTCCGTCAAGCCCAGCCGATACAGTGTGCCCCATGGGCTCCCCCAACAGTCTGCGTGAGTAGATCCTCCCACCCTCCTCTCCTTCATTATCGCTCGATTCCAAAGTTGCTGCCTCGAGTCAACGCTGCAGCTTTTCCGAGCGCTAATACGTTGGGACATAATGTGTCGTCATCTGGAAGGTGCGGTTACCCCCCTGGAAGTTGGCCCAGCTCGTGTGGTGTTCCACATGTTGTGATGTGATTGTTGTGCGCCGTGCGCCTTCAAGTAATGCGGGTGTTGTTTAAACGTTTAAACAGGCTCAGCGGTCGATTGGCAAGTGTTTGAACGGCACGCAAGGCTTGGTTTCGCAGTGAATGGTATGTTGATTCCACCGCCATCGCCGAAGACAGTAAGAATTAGGGTCGGAGTCGGACGGCACTAGCTAGGTCGAGCATGCCTGCGCGAAGAACTGACAACCGACACATTATGTGTTTATTGCATGTAGTTACCACGATTTACACATCCAGCGTGTGCGTGGACAGGCATGCGGCTCTGGGAGCAGTTGGGTTGATCGGTAGAAGGGCCCTCACTAATCAGAACACGTTCCATGCAGTTACGTGTCATCCACATCGCACTTGTGCCAGCATCTTCACCCACAGTTTCGCCCACACTGGCATACACCAGTGTACAGCATGTGCATGCGATCTTGTGTTATCTCCACATGCGCGCTGTCATTGCCAAACTCAGTACAAGTACACGTTTCAACAATGTCTGCAGGCTCGTCCGAAAGCAGAGTGCACACAGTAGCAGAATGCAGTGTTCCTTGCGACTCTCAGATTTGGCTCGTCCCGCGTGGATGCGTTTCGGGCCCCGCTAGAAGGGAATATTCAATTCATTCAACCCAGCAATAAGTAGGATTCACGTTCTGCTTGGACAACGAAAATCCGCACGGGGTCAAAAAGCGCAGTTGGGCAAGATGGCTCGCCGCGGCATGCGCGACGATCCTTTCGCAAGGACGTGCGCATGTCGGAAGCAGGATGCACAGGCCACACTCGCAACTACAAAGCACGGTGGCGGGGCCAAATTCGGAATTAACACGCTGTTGCGGAGGTGGTTTTCTGCAGCATTGGTTTTTCCTGGAGCAGCAGAAAGATATCCATTCCCAGAAGCGTTTCCCATGGCGCGTACTCGAAGGTTGTTTGGTGAAGCATCGGGGTCAACGTTGACATTGGCACATGCGGGCGAATCAAATAATCAAGACACCGACAAGTTTCCCATTTAACAGCATCGGGACCAAGAGCCCGGCGCTTGGGAGGAGCTTGCATCCGCTTTATTGCGAGATGTGGCAACAAAAGTTGATCGAGCAAATTGGCTTGGGAATTGGGCTCGGGGGTGGGCGTCGGGCTTAGCAGCGCCAGTGTCGTCCCTGGCGCCATGCGCAGTGCGCCGCGTTGGAATTGCCCCTCCGCTATTGGCTTTAGTAACCAGACGCATCTTGTCAACCCCTTCGTGGCCCCCTCGCTGCCCTTCGTGGCCCCGCTGCAGCCCTTCATGGCCCCCTCGCTGCTTCTCGTGGCCCCATATGTGTATGCCCTTCGTGGCCCCCGCTCGCTCGCGCCCGTCGTTGCCCCATATGTATGCGCTTCGTGGCCCCGTTGAGAGTGCAGCGGTCTTTCCGCCCTCTGCCCAGCATCTCTCGAGCCCTCACGCTGGCCGCTCGGGACAGCCTGCCTGGCAGCAGCGCTTGCTCCGTGAGGAGGCACGGGGACAGCGCGTGGGCAGGGCGGGCGCGACATCCCGGGTGGCGCACTGCACCGGCGCGCTCACGGTGTTTGACCCTCTTGCCGCTTCGCATGTCGCCGTGCAGCCCGTGGGGTCGCTCTTCCACTGCATCTGCATCCAGTTCGGCACCTGCACGGGCGTGTTCCCGGTGCCACTTCGCGATGCCGTCCGCGCCGTTTTGGCCATGTTGACCGCGCTGAGCTCCGTCCCGCTCTGTGCCTGGCGTTGCTCGCCTTTTTATTTTTCCTTTAGCTGGTGGCACAGCCTGCCCCTGCTTGCTCGGCGTTCGACCCTCTTCGCGCGCCCGCGTACCAAAAAGTATCGCCGTGCCGTCTCCTGGCCAGGCTAGGGACCAACCCGGCAGGCGCGCTGCGCACAGTGGGTAGTGTACTAGTTGCGTGCCAACTGTATTTTCGGCACCAGCATTCCACGAAATTCTGCGGTGCCTTGTATTCATCCATGTCTACATAACGCCCCTGGTACCCATCGCGGCCCAGCAGATTCCCGGCAGTGGGCGGTGGCTGCTTGGCTTGTGATCCGATGGCGGGGCATTTGTTCCTGCATGTACAGGGGTATCGAATTGGCCACATGAAACACGACCCCCGCCCCCCACATGAAGAATTCTGAGTAAAGGGACCGTCAAACGAAGCGCGAGCTGGCAATTCAATGCGAACGGCGCGCTGCTGCTATGCTCGTTGGCCTTTGATGAAGGTGGCGTTGCCTTGTGCTGGCGCGCTGTCACTGCCCAAAGTCATTTTGGATGTCAGCGCGCTCGTGCCAGGGCAAGAACCAGGGGGCGCGTCGGGTCTTGGTGGCGCTGGCAAGGCCCGCCCCGCACGGGCGCGCATCGAAAAAAATAGGCCCACCCCAATAACAAAGTTTAGGCACCAGGCGAAATAAATTTATACAACATCTATACAACATCGATTCAAATTTCCCCGAAGCGAGTCTCGCGCGGGAGAGCCCCGAAAACTTCATACAATCAAAACATGTGTTTATATAAACGCCCACAGTGCTTTCTATTGGAACAGCTGCCTCAAGAGAAACGCTCCCGACTTAAACTTTTCCGTCGGCGGGTCACGAAGGGGCGACGGAGGCGGGGCGGGGGCCCGCGGCTGGGCCAGCGGCGCGGCCGTGCGAGGGACAGCGCCGCCGTCGCCTCAAACTGCACGCCGCGGCCGTGGCACGCGCGGCCCCGGGAATGCTGGCGCGGGCGCGGCCGTGTCGAGTGGGCCCAGCACGTCGCCGCGCGTGCGGGCCCCCACTGCGGCAGCAGGCAATGGCTTGCCGACAGGGCGCAGACACTTACGCACATTCGCCGTACATGCAAAACGCTGACCTGTAAAATCCATAGTCGTGGGGGCTGGTGGGTCGGTTTCCCATTGTTTGGCTTGGACCGGGTCAGGGTGCGACCCCCCTGGCTTTGTGCAAGGATTGGCTTGTGGGTGCCGTGCCCTGGCGCTCTCGAGGACGAGGGGAAGCAGCAGGCCTGGGCCCAGATGAAAACATACAGCGGACGGTCAGCGTTGCACTATGTCGCGAGCAGGCGCGGCGAAGCCGGCTCGAATTCTTGGTGCAACCCTTTTCTGATTGAGGGGGCAAATTGTGACCGTCGCTCTCGCCACCATGCCACACCAAAAAACACGAAGCCTGGGTCTTGCTTTCTACCATCCCGAAGAATCTAGTTCTCCGCGGCGAATTCGCCACCGTGCCAGCATTGCTTCAAGGTAACCTTCAGATCTTTCGATTCACTTCGGGCTCTACATATTAGCACGATTGTTCCTCCGTGGCTCTAGCATGGCGCTTGGTCCTTCGCGGCCCCGTTTCTACCGATCTCTTCACATATCATTATGGTCATACGACGTACGAGCCTTGGACGAGGGGGCGTCGCATTTTGCAAAATGGCAGAAATCCTACCAGACTGCTTCCATGCACTCCAGTGCGCCCTCGCACGCTGGTGGCAAAGCGGCGGTTCCATCTGGCAGCCGATTTGGTCTGGCTTGGTAGCGAGGCTTCCAAAAATTGGGAAGCAGTTTCCCCCCTCATGATCGGTGAGACTGGCCATTTCCTATTTTGTCGATCCAGTTTCGGGGCCATATTATGGTGGCCGGCCAGCGCGTTCAAATGCAGACGGCCAGGGCGTTCTGTCGAGATTTTGTCTGCGTCAGCAGAGTATCGCTCTCCCGAGGCCGCCGAAATCGACAGAATGCGAAATGTGTCGACTCGTTCCACATCCGCGCGGCCTGCTGCCCGGGTCCCGCGGCCGGCGCCTCCGGCCATGCCAGCGGCCAAGGATGAGCAGAGCCAGGGGCTGGCGTCGGCGCCACGGCGGCAGAGGCCGGTGCGGGGCGAGAGGGGGGGGTCGGCGGCACTGTGGTGGTCGCTCGCTCGCCGGTTTTGGGTAACCCATCGGCTGTCGCCTTCTTAGAATGTTCGTTCGGACGCTGCAGCGTTGCAGGCATCGGGGAGGGTTGGGTTCACCGGGTCGCTGCCCAAAGCGCCCGTTGGTGGAGTCCCCGTCGGGGGGATCGGTGAGGGGGGGAGTGAATGCTCGCCGAACGCATACCCAGCCGAAAATAAAAGCAATACGTAGCATTGAACAGCGATCGTGTTTTGTGTTTCTGTTAGCCTGTGGGGTCCATCTAGGGAACCTCCTGAGCCATCTGCTGGGCAGCATGGAGGCGCATTGCGCAAGATTGAGAGCTTCGAGATTATATTTTATGCCCCTTGGGATAGATCGGATGCCACATTGCCTCATCGTCGACGTGATGGTACATACTGGTGGTGTACTGGTCCCGTCTTGCAACATGATTACATCATGCTTGAAGTAAGTTGCATGCCATGTTGAGGCGAGATGAACCGAAATGCCATTTAGAGTGGCACGGTGGCGGCAGTGGCCTGAAGGCATTTGAGATAGCCAAACCATGACCGATGAGGAACGCTCCAGCCACCCTGTGGTGAGACCAGCGGGCGGCGGATCGAAGATGTCTCCCGTGAGTCGTACCCGGCCCTACCCGCTTCTGTACAATACTAATCGGCTGCATGCAGTGCTCCCTCAATCGTTGCGGAGGAAATCTGGAAACGTTGTGCGGTTTACAGCATGTTGTTGTTTTTGAGCCCCCTCTCAGAGGCGCATCATGAGCCAGCCGAAAACAGGGGCCCAACAAGGCATACTGTGGGGAATCGTTCGAGCCTTCTTGGCGGACAGGGGCCAGTTTGGGAGCGTCTCGGGACTTTCGAGGGGCGTCTCAAGCCACCCTGGGGGCCTCTTAGGCAGTTTTAGCCATCTCATAGGGCCCGCTTTTGCCATCGTCGGACCCCTCAATTTTGGCCACCTCTGGGGACGCTCGTGTAGCCGTGCCGGAGCTGTTCTGGGCCGTCTTCGGGCCACTCGCTGGCCCTCTTGGGCGCTCTCCTTGGCCATTTTGGAGCCACCCTCGGCCGCAGGATGCACAACTTATCAAAAATAGCCCATGCTTTAAACATGGTGCTGTCAGCCGCGCCGCGGGTGAGATGGCGGCGGCGCTCTTCCGAAGAATTGTGCATATTCTCTGTGCCGCGAAGGTCGAGGTGTTCCGCCGTGCACGCACCTGTAGCATAGCCAAGAGCGTTCATGGGTCGAGACCTTGTTTCTCGTGACCGCCACTAATGTCATCAGATCCGTCGGCGTATATTTGTTTGGCGTGCTTCACCCCGTGGACTCCCGCACTTTACACCCGCCGCAAGTAAGTGATTGGAGAGGCGGCAGCAGGATGATGACAATGAGAAGGAGGAGGAGGAGGAGATCAGGAGGAGGAGGAGCAGGAGGAGCAGGAGGAGGAGGAGGGGGAGTCACGACCACACATTTCGAGCCTCGCACAAGTAGGGCTGGAAAGAGTGGGCAGAAGCAGGGTCCACACTTCCAGAACTTGCGCGGGGACTTGGGGAAACATGGTCAGGAGCAGGGACCACACACCCAGGCAGAAGAACGCCGGGAGACAGGCGGATCCAGCAGCGACCAGCACAAACAGCGACACAAAGGTCACACAACGTCCAACACCTTCAGCATCCACATACACTACAATCTTCCACAACACCTTCAACGACCTCCAGCAACGGCCAACGACAACTATCAGCAACGGATATCAGCAATGACCAGCAACGGCCATCAGTACTCGACACATCAGCAACGCCCTACAGCGACCACCAGCAAGCACCAACAGCATCCAGCATCGCCCAACTACGGCCAGCAACGACAGCGCCCCCCTCAGCAACGAAACCAAGTCGCCGCTACCCTGGTGAGGCAAGGTTTAAACTTCGAGACGGGCTCGAAGGGCGGGGGGGCAGGACGAGTACTGCCTGCGCCTGCCAGGGGGGATGGTGAGGGGCAGGGGATGGGTAGGACGACCACTACCCGCGTCCCCGCGATCCGCCCTAGCTCGCCACCCCCACCATCCCCAGGGCGGAGGAGGAGCTTACCCGAGCGCCTGAGGCGAAGCACAGGGCAAGCGCGACGAAGCCCACCACGACCATACTAGCACTAAGCCTAGGGTTCGCCCCCACCGAGGGCACAGTGACCCCTAGCCATGGCGGGACGAGGTGGGACCATCACGAGTCCTACTTGAAATCGGTGCATGGAGGCCAAACATGCAGCCCCACCCACACACCATCAGACCTAACATCCCACCAGCACAGCGACCAACGACACCGACAGCACAAGCAGGACCACAGGACAAGGAGCGAAGTAACGATGAAGGAGAGAGTGCAAGAAAGAGACGGCAGCACGCGACTACTAACCAGCAGCCACAAAATCCTCATAGCCCAGAAGGCAGAGGCCTCGCAGTACGACCCAATTGACGTAGGACAGGGAAGTCGGGAGCTCTGGGGAAAGGTGGTCAGGAGCAGGGACCACACACTTAGAGCCCCGCCCAAGCAAAGAAGTGAAAAGACGACCAGGAGCAGGACCTACTGCCCACACCCTGTCAGAGGACTGGGGAAAGGTGGTCAGGATCAGGGACCACACCCAGTCCCAGACACAGGGGGTAGCCTGCCCCACAGACGACTGGGCTCAGCGCGCTGCGCCGAATGGGAGCCCAGGCGTCTCCGAGTGGCCAGCCAGGCCGAAGCGGGCTCGAGGGAAAGGTGGTCAGGAGCAGGGACCGCACACCTCGAGCCCCATACGAAGGGAGCTGGGGAGAAAGGTGGGCAGGAGGTGCCACACGCCCAGGCTCCGCTGGGGCCCGGGGAAGGGTGGTCAGGAGCAGGGACCACACACCCAGGCAGCAGCCGAGAGGGGGCAGCCTGCCCCCCAGCGGCTGGGCTCACAGCGCGCCGCGCCGAAGGGAGCCATGGGGTGTTCCTTTTCCAGGGGAGGGCGGGTCTTGCAGTGGACCTCTTCTTCCTCCTCGTCTTCCTCCTCCTCCTCCTCCTCCTCCTCCTCCTCCTCCTCCTCCAGCCTCCCCTCCCCTCCTCCTCCTCCTCCTCCTCCTCCTCCTCCTCCTCCTCCTCCTCCTCCTCCTCCTCCTCCTCCCGCCGCCGAGTGGCCAACCTGGCTCGCGGCCCGCGAGGAGGTCGGCGGCCAGGCCAATCGCCGCGCTGCTACAGCGCAGCCGGACGCCCGCGGGCGCGGGCGCGCGCGGCGCCCGACCACGGGCCCCATTGCGGGCCCCTTTTTTGTTTTAACCCTGCCTCTTCTTCTCCCCTCCCCCTGAGGTATGTATTGGTCCCTGGTCCCCTCCCCTCTTTTTTCTTTCCCCTTGAGGTATTGATTCAAACCCGGCCTCTTCTTCTCCCCTCCCCTCTTTTTTTTTCTCTCCCCTGAGGTATGTATTGGTCCCTGGTCCCCTGTCTCTTCCTCGCGGTCGGGCTCCCGGGGCCGCCGTCTGAGGGGCCCGCACGGCCCTCGCGGGCTGCTGCGGCGCGCTCCGCGCTCAGGGCGCGCGTGAGACGCTGCTCGGAGCGAGAAACGCAGAAACGCAGGGGGAGTCAGACACCACGAGCTTCACGCTCCCATGGCCCGCAGAAGAATAATAAGGAATGGGGGACAGCAGGAGGTAGAGGAGGATTAGGAGGAGCAAGTGGAGAAGGAGGCATCACGAGTGCCTACACATATATATATATATATACACACACATATATATATACACACACGAGAGCGCTGCCTTCAGCAGCAGCAGGTGGATGGCAAGGAGGAGGAGCCGCAGCGGCACCAGCATAAAGCCGGCTCTGGAAGAGTATGGGGGCCCAGGGATACGGGCTGCCCAGGAGCGGGCCCCGGAGCACCCCGAGGCTCCCCCCGAGCCGGCTTCTCACCCCGAGTCGTTTCTCACGGTTTCGGGGGCCCGGGTGGGGTTTCGAGAGGTTGAGAACGGCGAGGAGCCCCACGACATGTTGTTCAAAGGGATGAGATCTACCCCTACGTGGTTCTTGGAGGAACGCTATCAGCACGCATTGCAGGAACAGGCGTGAAGGAAAGCGGCCAAACGATCTCACCAGCCAGTTTGGCTGTCCGCTTGCCACATCGGCACGGGGGGGCTCGCGGTACAGGGGGCCCCTCGTGCCTTGGCATTTTTTGCTTAACTATTCTCACCTGTCCACCGTCCCACCTGGATCTCAGTGTGTGTGTTGCGTCTATTCGCATACACTTGAGACCATATTCCGGCATGTCTGGCTAGCACTACGCTGATACAAGTTCTTCTTATGTTTTGCTTGCTGGCCAGAGGGGCGCTTCCAGCCGTGCAGTTTGGCTCACACCTATATCAGTTCAGTTTGTTGTTATTCTCGCGCGTTGCACTTTGATCGCTTACTTTACCTTACGAGCATCGTTGAGGTCTGATCCCCACCTCCGTCTTTGAAGCGGGGTCTGGCCCTACTGTTTTCACGGTGTCGACTGCTGTCCGCTGTGGAGCTCGACTTTTGCCCACTATGACTCTGCACGCTGTGTTGTCCCGAGTCTTTGCAAAGGTGGCACGCGGCCTGGAGCTCTCATTACGCGCCCTCGGTGTTAGTGCGATTCGTCGTGCCGGCGCCGCTCGCCTTGGAGTTGGGGCAGGTTGCAGGCAAGGTCTTTTAAGTAGTTAGTGTCAGCGCGTCAATGTCGCTCTTCTTCTCCTTCACATTGTTGTCTGCAGTTGAACGGCGCGGCTCTCTCTCTCGAACCTCATTTGTTTTTCCTAGCCCCGGTCCTCCCTGCCCCCACCTGCGGGGCGGGGACACGATGGGGGCGACGCGGCACGGGAGCCCAGGTGGGCCCCGCATTTTTTGTTCAGTATGTTCATTTTTGATCCCACCACGCGCGCCCCGGCCCATGCCGGAGAAGGCGGCATGGGAGGTTGCCCACAGCTTGCAACTGGCACTGG